CGCAACACGACTGTCGATGCAACGGAGCGACGCAACCGATCGACGCAACGGAGCGACGCAACCGATCGACGCAAACGAGCGCCGCCTCCACGTGTGGAAACTAAAACGACATTTACTCGTCTGAACTGAATCTAAACTCTGTGTTTCTGTCCCAGTGACAAACGGACGACACGAACTGGTCCCAAAAGACGTCAGAGAAGAGGCGGAGAAATACGCAAAGGTCTGACCCTCTGACCCTCTGCTCCTCTGACCCTCTGCTCCTCTGACCCTCTGCTCCTCTGACCCTCTGTTCCTCTGCTCCTCTGACCCTCTGCTCCTCTGACCCTCTGACCCTCTGCTCCTCTGACCCTCTGCTCCTCTGACCCTCTGCTTCCTCTGCTCTGACCTCTGCTCCTCTGACCCTCTGCTCCTCTGACCCTCTGCTCTCTGACCCTCTGCTCTGACTCCTCTGACCCTCTGCTCTCTGACCCTCTGACCCTCTGCTCCTCTGCCTGACCCTCTGCTCCTCTGACCCTCTGCTCCTCTGACCCTCTGCTCCTCTGACCCTCTGCTCTCTGACCCTCTGCTCTGACCCTCTGCTCCTGCTCTGCTCCTCTGACCCTCTGCTCCTCTGACCCTCTGCTCTCCTCTGACCCTCTCCTCTGCTCCTCTGACCCTCCTCTGACCCTCTGACTCCTCTGACCCTCTGACCCTCTGACCCTCTGCTCTCTGACCCTCTGTTCCTCTCTGACTCTGCTCTGACCCTCTGCTCTGACTCTCCTCTGACCCTCTGTTCCTCTGACTCTGCTCTCTGACCCTCTGCTCCTCTGACCCTCTGCTCCTCTGACCCTCTGACCCTCTGTCCTCTGCTCTGACCCTCTGCTCTGACTCCTCTGACCCTCTGCTCCTCTGACCCTCTGCTCCTCTGACCCTCTGCTCCTCTGCCCTCTGCTCTGCTCCTCTGACCCTCTGCTCCTCTGACCCTCTGCTCCTCTGACCCTCTGCTCCTCTGACCCTCTGCTCCTCTGACCCTCTGCTCCTCTGACTCTGCTCTGACCCTCTGCTCTGACCCTCTGCCTCTGACCCTCTGCTCCTCTCTCTGACCCTCTGACCCTCTGCTCCTCTGACCCTCTGACCCTCTGCTCCTCTGACCCTCTCCTCTGACTCCTCTGACCCTCTGCTCTCTCTCTGACCCTCTGCTCTCTGACCCTCTGCTCCTCTGACCCTCTGCCCTCTGACCCTCTGACCCTCTGCTCTGACCCTCTGCTCTCTGACCCTCTGCTCCTCTGACCCTCTGCTCCTCTGACCCTCTGACCCTCTGCCCTCTGACCCTCTGCTCTGACTCTCTGACCCTCTGCTCCTCTGACCCTCTGCCCTCTGACCTCTGCTCTGACCCTCTGCTCCTCTGACCCTCTGCTCTCTGACCCTCTGCTCCTCTGACCCTCTGCTCCTCTGACCCTCTGCCTCTGACCCTCTGACTCCTCTGCTCCTCTCTGACCCTCTCTCTGACCCTCTGCTCCTCTGACCCTTCTCTGACCCTCTGACCCTCTGACCCTCTGCTCCTCTGACCTCTGCTCCTCTGCCCTCTGCTCCTCTGACCCTCTGCTCCTCTGACCCTCTCCTCTGACCCTCTGACCCTCTGCTCCTCTCTCTGCTCCTCTGACCCTCTGCTCCTCTCTCTGCTCCTCTGACCCTCTGACCTTCTCTGCGTCCTCTGACCCTCTGCTCCTCTGACCCTCTGCCCTCTGCTCTGCTCTCTGCTCTGACCCTCTGCTCCTCTGACCTCTCTGACCCTCTGCCTCTGCTCCTCTGACCCTCTGCTCCTCTGACCCTCTGCTCCTCTGACCCTCTGCTCCTCTGACCCTCTGCTCCTCTGACCCTCTGCTCTCTGACCCTCTGCTCTGCTCTCTGACCCTCTGCTCTCTCTGACCCTCTGCTCCTCTGACCCTCTGCTCTCTGACCCTCTCTCTCTGCTCTGCTCCTCTGACCCTCTGCTCCTCTGACCCTCTGCTCCTCTGACCCTCTGCTCCTCTGACCCTCTGACTCTGCTCTGACCCTCTGCTCCTCTGACCCTCTGCTCCTCCCCTCTGACCCTCTGACCCTCTGCTCCTCTGATCTCTGACCTCTGACCCTCTGCTCCTCTGACCCTCTGCTCCTCTGTCTTTTTTCTCTTCACCCTCTGCTCCTCTGACCCTCTGCTGGACCCTCTGGAGGAGGATGATTCTGATGAGGACAACATGTAAAAACTGCTCTGTGTGTGTGTTTTTTTTTGTACTGAAATCTTTGTTCCAATATTAAAATGGGGAAAAACACAAAAGCTCCTGCGTCTTTCACTGAACAAACCACATCCAAAAACATCACCTCAAGTCGAGCTCAGAGCGAGTCCAGAAGCTCAGCAGAGTCCCACCTACAAACTCCTAACCCGCGGCTCCTCCACCCGCGGCTCCTCCACCCGCGCTCCTCCACCCGCGGCTCCTCCACCCGCGGCTCCTCCATGCTCTGGAGCTTTTACATGTGGGACATATTGTGGGAGACGTTTGGGGATGAAATGAAGAGTTTTACACGGGACATTTGTTGCTTTGTCTTGTGTCCATCACTCTGTCCTCTGTCCGCATCTACATCTACATCAGGGGTGTTCAAACTTTTTTCATCAAGGGCCACATATCTAACACAGATGAAGCAGAGGGTCGATGGAGGGACGTAGACTGGAGCTCAAAACAGTGAATAATTACAATCTGTGCAGGTTTAACACGTTACAATGAGCCATCCGACTTTATTTGTGCAAAGATCCTTAAAACCACACACTAAATGTTAAATATTAGCTCAATCAAGGTAGATTTAAAAAAAAAAACTAGCATTAAAAGGTTCTTAGGTTTTTAATTGATGTAAAGTAATTTGGGCCAATTCTCCTGAAAGACTGAGGGCCACAGTTTGGACATGCCTGGTCTACATCTTTAACCTGCAGCAGTAGAACAGAGTGTAATCCCCGTCCCCTGTCCCCCTTCCCGTGTCTCTCGGTCTGGATTCGGGTTCACGCAGAGAAAAACCCGTGAGATCGTGGATCGGAACACACTGTCCACACACCGCCTCGTCCACTGTGACATATATGGCCACGTCGGGTCTCTCTTCCTGTGACGCAAGCACGCACACCCCGCCATTCTTCCGCTGCTGTTTGTTTCGTTAAAATCAGCCGCAAAACACGCCGAAAACTTCACTTTTTCACCCGGAACCCGCTCCAAATGTCGAGTTTGAGCCTCAGCTTCGGCGTTCGTGTCGCTTTTATTCATAAATGTCACGTTTGTAACTCGTATTCAAGCGTCAGCACCGAACCCCGATCACAAACGATCCAATTATGAGGATTAAACGAGTTTATAAAATGGAGGAAACGTGGTTCAGTATAAAAAAGGAGCTTTAATAAACGTGTGACCTGTTACTCACAAATCGGCAGAAACGACAATGGAGGAAACTTTATATTTTAGACACAAAATAAACTTAGTCTTAAATATGACCCCGTTCGTCGGTGAATTCGGTTAGAAAGCGGAGATTTTGGCTTTAAAACCTGCTCAAACCTCAGTGTTTTTGGACACTGGACGCTCTTACAAAGGCGCACATTAGTTCTTTGTGGAGTTTGTAGAGTTTTATCAGAGAAATGTAGTTTTTTTAGTGTGTTTTTGGTCGGTTCGTGGCCTGATCCGGCGCAGTGTTTTGAACAGTTTTGCTTGAGCACGTACGGGGGCGGGACTTTCACGCTGACGCAGCGCACGAGGAAGCGGCCTCAGCCAATCAGCGCACAGAACAAACCGCGCGCGACCAATGGCGAGGCGCAGTGGCGGGCTTTCCTGTGCGCGCGCCGCTGATTGGGCGCGCTCTTAAAGCCCAGGCATTTCACCCGCTGCTCTCACGGCACAAAACTACAAGAAAATGACTCAAAGTCAAATTAAAACAAGTTTTTATTAAAGATCCACGATTCACAGGGTTTACTCTGAGCTCGGGGGCGATTATAAAGAGAAACATGAGGAGAAATCCCACAGAAAACAACATTAAAGTGAAGAAAACAGGCGTCACTTTGCTCATGATGAATGGAGAATGTTTGTGTTTCTGCATTTTGGACAAAACACTTTGATTTTATGATGATGATGATGATTATTATTATCATTATTATTATTATTATTGTTATTATTATTATTATTGTCATAATTATAAAGACAGGACGTCCCCGTGTCCCCGGGACAGTCCCAGTCCTGAACCTGTGTCTCTGTCCCGGCATATTTAGACAAAACAACTCATTTTTCACCGTTTGTCCCGGAATCTCTATTTTTAATCATAATAATCACACATTTTAATGATGAAGCGCCTTTCTGGACACTCGGGGTGGACAACAACAGAAACAAGTTCAGTCCTATTAAAACTTACAGTTAAAGTGCCACAAAAGTATTTTAACTGACTGATTGTATTTAATTGATCGACATTTCTGACCAATTTAATCCCTGTCAACAGTAAAGAGAAAATAAACTGTCATTTGTTTAAGTAAAATACTGAATAAATCTGATTAAAAATGAAAACACAAAGGAAATGTGACTCTACTGACTCGTGTTGTTTTTACAATTTTATTATTACCAACCACCAATAAACAACAACAACAAAAACGATTCACTTTAATAAAATAAATCAATAAATAAACTCTTCTCTTCGGACATGTCCGTTATTGTTTCAGAACAGTAGTGTAAAGTGCAGTGAGAATATTCCAGGAAGAGAAAAGTAAATGTCAGAGATGAGCAGAGGAGTTTTTAGTTTTTAGTTGGTGTTTTATTTATTTCTTTTTTTCAGTTTTAGTTTAGTTTTAGTTTTAATCCTCAACTCGAGTCCCGGAGCCACATCGCGGCTCTCGGGCCAAACGCCTGGGACCGCGGCTCCTGCGGCTCCTCCGCTCTTCGGCTCCCGCGCGCTGATTGGCTCCAGGGCCCCGGAGCCTATCGGAATGTCCGCCGCGCTCAGCCAATCAGATTGAGGCTCCGCGGCCGCAGCCAATGGGGAGGCGGGAAACAGAGCTCCGGGCTCAGACGCCTGTTGTTCGCTTCGAGGCTCAGAGGAAGCTGCTCCGTCGATGAATGTGAGTAAAATGTCAATATTTGTGTCCCGAACCCGGCTCAAACTTTCCCCGGCCGCGGGCTCGGCTCGTCGGGCTGGTGTGGCCGGCTCCGGGGGCTCGGGGGGCGGGTGAACGGGCGGTTACGGGGCGCTGTTACACCGCGGTGAACGGCAGTTGTTTTTGAGAAAATGTGAAGCCGCCGCGTCTTTGTGAATCCGCCGCCAAATAAATAAATAAATGCGTGTGGATCCGGGCCGGACGCTCCGGACCGGACTCAGGGCACCGGGGGCCGCTTCTGGAGCAGTTTAACCCGCGGGAGGAGCGTCCGTGTCGGCGTCAGGTCCGTTTAAATCGCCGTATGACACAAACTGGAGCTGGAGCTACGCTAAAACCGAAGCTAAATTTAGCTCCGGAGTGAACCGCTGCTTCTGACGAGGCTTTTTCACCCAATTCACACAACTCCGGACGGCTGGAGTTTGAGGCGCTGTCGGAGCCGGTTCGGGGCCGGTTCGGGGCCGGTTCGGGGCTGTTGTGAGCGGGCAGGAGGCTCGGGGCTTGGAACATAAAGTTGGCCCGAGAGGAGCCGTGATGGCGACAAAGCAGCGGGAAGGAAAGCTCCTCTCCCCGGACCTCCGCGCTCCTCCGCCCGCCCGAGCCTCCTCTCCGCCCGGACACACGAACCCGCCGAACCCTCGAGGCTGTAGCGGGATCGGGACCGGAGCCGGAGAGGCCCGTGTGGACGGTGACCGCGGGAGAGGGGGGGTCACGGCCCCGCGTCACGTTTCCTCGCGGATTTCACCGCAGCGGCCGCGAAGTCCATTTAAAAGTCCCGTTAAAACCCGCCCTGGGTTCTGGTCACGGATCCACACGAACCACCCACACGGAACCGACACCGGGTTATTTCTAACCGCGAAAAACACGACCCACTCCGCGTTTCACACGTTTCAATCCACCGAAACCGAGTCCAACTGGACCCACACAGCTCCCCGTCCTCCACAGAACCGAACCCCTCCATAGAACCTCTCTACAGAACCGAACCCCTCTACAGAACCCCTCCACAGAACCCCTCCACAGAACCTCTCTACAGAACCTCTCTACAGAACCGAACCCCTCTACAGAACCTCTCTACAGAACAGAACCTTCACGTGTTCTGTCCTGTTCGTCTCGTCAGTGTCGTATCGATGTATTGATGTATAAATCTGTCGGTTCGATATTGATATTTCTCTCGATATTTTGCAGAGGTCGATTTATTCGTTGATGTGAAACTGTTTTAAAACTCTGACTAGATTTTGTTGTAAATTATTTCCGTCATAATCCTAAAAATTCAAGTAAAAACATGTTTCTTTGTGTTTTTGGCGCTGAAATGAATCATGGGAAATGTAGTTCTGATGTTTTTAAACTTTTACTTCTGTAAAACTAAAGTTCAATTTGTGTTTTAAATATTGTGACGCTCGTCGACGTCGTTGTGACACGTTTGACCACACCACCACCACCACCATGACTTCACCACTTTTGGGTTTTTGTCACGTCCCGTCAGTCGAGTCGTCAGTCGGGTCGTCAGTCCAGTCGTGTGATTAAATGACCTGAGTGTGAAATGTTAGAACGTTCTCGGATCCACATGTCCACCACAATTTAAAAGCCTCAGTGAATCACTGGACTCTTCCTCTGCCTCTTCTGTCGGTTCTGATCGTGTTTGTCGGTTCTGTTGGTTCTGATCGTGTTTGTTGGTTCTGTTGGTTCTGATCGTGTTTGTCGGTTCTGATCGTGTTTGTCGGTTCTGTTGGTTCTGATCGTGTTTGTTGGTTCTGTTGGTTCTGATCGTGTTTGTTGGTTCTGATCGTGTTTGTCGGTTCTGTCGGTTCTGACCGTGTTTGTTGGTTCTGTGTTTTCAGTGAGTTCTGCTGCGATTTGGAGCTGGACTCCCTCAAATAACAACAACATGAAGGTGAGTCACACAACGACGCACAACAACACGACAACAACACGACAACAACACACAACAGCAACAACACACAACACACACAACAGCAACAACAACGATAACAACACACGACAACAACACACGACAACAACACACGACAACAACACACGACAGCAACAACACGACGACAGCAACAACACGACAACAACACGAGAGCGACAACAACACGACAACAACACGACAACAACACGACAACAACACGACAACAGCAACACACAACAGCAACAACACGATAACAACACGACAACAACACACGACAACAACACGACAACAACACACGACAACACACGACAACAACACACGACAACACGCAACACACACACAGACAACAACACGACAACAGCAACACACAACAGCAAAACACGACAACAACACGACAACAACACGACAACAACACGACAACACGACAAATACACGACAGCAACAACACGACGACAACAACACGACAACAACACACGACAACAGCAACAACACGACAGCAACAACACGAGAGCAACAACACACGACAGTAACAACACGACAGCAACAACAACACGACAGCAACAACACGACAACAACACGACAACAGACAACAGCAACAACACGACAACAGCAACACGACAGTAACAACACGACAACAACACAACAAAAACACAACAACAACACAAAACCACGAAAAGAGCAAGAGGAGGGAACGATCACACCACGTTTGTTCTGGAAGACGAGTCTCTGTTCCTCTGCGTCACACACCGGCGAACCTGTGCACACACTGGCGTGCCTGCGTCACACACCGGCGTGCCTGCGTCACACACCGGCGTGCCTGCGTCACACACCGGCGTGCCTGCGTCACACACCGGCGTGCCTGCGTCACACACTGGTGTATCAGTCACGAATCAGAACCAGGACTCGAGTCTCTGGGACAAAGACCTGAGTGTCGTCTGTTCACACTGTCACTCATGTCGTCGTTTTAATATTTAAATGTTTTTATTAGAGCCCGACCGATATGGATTTTGTTGTGGCCGATATGAAACCGATATAACGGGAGTTGGAGCTGCCGATATAATCGCCGATATATTTAGTGATGTAAAAATTCACTGTAAATGTTGAATTATTAAAACTGAACACACACACACACTGAACATACACACACTGAACACACACACACACTGAACACACACTGAACATACACACACCTCAACACACACTTGAACATGCACCTGAACACACACACACTGAACATACACACACACACCTGACACACCTACACACACACACGCCTACACACACACACGCCTACACACACACACGCCTCAACACACACACACGCCTCAACACACACATACATACACCTGAACACACACATACATACACCTGAACACACACATACATACACCTGAGCACACACACACACCTGAACATACACCTGAACACACACACACACACACACACCTGAACACACACCTCAACACACACACATACACACCTGAACACACACACACAACATGAGATCAGGTGTGTGTGTTTTTGTGCGTTTCAGGCAGTGGAGGAGCCTGCCTACCTGAGCGTGTGTGTTTGTGTGTGTTTGTGTGTGTAACAGTGTGTGTTTTTGTGCGTTTCAGGCAGTGGAGGAGCCTGCCTACCTGAGCGTGTGTGTTTGTGTGTGTTTGTGTGTGTAACAGTGTGTGTTTTTGTGCGTTTCAGGCAGTGGAGGAGCCTGCCTACCAGAGCGTGTGTGTTTGTGTGTGTTTGTGTGTGTAACAGTGTGTGTTTTTGTGCGTTTCAGGCAGTGGAGGAGCCTGCCTACCTGAGCGTGTGTGTTTGTGTGTGTTTGTGTGTGTAACAGTGTGTGTTTTTGTGCGTTTCAGGCAGTGGAGGAGCCTGCCTACCTGAGCGTGTGTGTTTGTGTGTGTTTGTGTGTGTAACAGTGTGTGTTTTTGTGCGTTTCAGGCAGTGGAGGAGCCTGCCTACCTGAGCGTGGGGACAGATGTGAGTGCGAAGTACAGAGGAGCGTTCTGTGAGGCCAAAATCAAAACGGTCAAACGCCTCGTCAAAGTCAAGGTCAGTGTCTCTGTGAGCCAGAGTCTGGACTGGTCCTGGTGCTGGTCCTGGTTCTGGTGCTGGTTCTGGTGCTGGTTCTGGTGCTGGTCCTGGTGCTGGTCCTGGTGCTGGTGCTGGTCCTGGTCCTGGTGCTGGTCCTGGTGCTGTTGCTGGTTCTGGTGCTGGTGTCTGTATGTGTTTGTTGTAAATGTGTTGTTTTGTTGTTTTGTTGTGTGTCACTTGTGTTGTGTGTTCTGTGTGGTTCTGGGTGGATCTGTGTGGTTCTGGGTGGATCTGTGTGGTCCTGGGTGGTTCTGTGTGGTTCTGGTCCATGTTCTCAGAGTTCTGGTGTGGTTCTGTGTGGTTCTGTTGCAGGTGACTCTGAAGGGGGAGGGGACGTCTCAGGTGGTGCATGACGACCAGGTCAAAGGTCAGCTCAGGGTAAGTGTCTCTCCTCTTTTTTGGTTCTCATCTCTTTCTTCTCTTTCGTTTGTCGTTGTCGTTGTTGTGGATAAACTCTGCTCACAGTGCACCTGTCGGGCCTTAAAAGTCTTAAAAACGTCTTAAATTCTGTTGTCCAAGTTTTATTTTTTTCACAAAGGTCTTAAATTTCATTAGTTTTTTTGTTCACTCACTCGGGCTGTAGAGCAACGTTAAACAAAGGAGAAAACAACATGAAATGACAAAACGAGTGAAGGTTTAGAACCTGCACAAAAACTTTGGTTTGTGTCGCTGGTTTTAATGAATAAACTTCAGTGGATCAGGAGGAAGACTCCGGGTCAGTGGATCGGGAGGAAGACTCCGGGTCAGTGGATCGGGAGGAAGACTCCGGGTCAGTGGATCGGGAGGAAGACTCCGGGTCAGTGGATCGGGAGGAAGACTCCGGGTCAGTCGATCGGGAGGAAGACTCCGGGTCGAGAGGAAGAGCAGCTTTAGTCCACACTGACTCTGACATTTGAGGAAGTCAAACCTGGGGATAAACTTTTTGAAGTGTTAAATCTTGACCTGGTCTGAGTGTTGATCCTGTACATTCTGACTCACCCTGTCAAACTGACATGTGTCTGCTCCTGTCTGCTCCTGTCTGCTCCTGTCTGTAGGTGGGGTCTGTGGTGGAGGTGAAGACCAATGAAGGGTTGAACTCTGAGGCCGTCATCAGCAAACTCACCGACGCCTCCCTGTACACCGTGGGTACGTACGGCCCATAACACTCACACCACGCCTGCTCCCGGGTCACGCTCCCGGGGCTCTGGGGGGGCTCCGGGGCTGTGGGGCTCTGGGGGGGGCTCTGGGGGGGGCTCTGGGGGGCTCTGGGGTCGGCGGTCCGGGGCTCCGGGGGGGCTCCGGGGCTCTGGGGCTCTGGGGGGGCTCCGGGGCTCTGGGGCTCTGGGGGGGCTCCGGGGCTCTGGGGGGGCTCTGGGGGTCCCGGGTGGTGTCTGTGGTTCTTTGGTGCTCAGATGTTGTTTTGTGTTTCAGTTTTTGACGACGGAGACGAGAAAACTCTGAGGAGGACGTCTCTGTGTCTCAAAGGAGAGAGACACTTCGCCGAGAGCGAGGTCAGAACCTTTAACCCTTTAACTCTTTAACCCTTTAACCCTTTAACCCAACACCTGACCCTTTAACCTGTTTCCCTTGAGCTGTATCTGGGCCCAAATGGGTCTGGACCTCATGTTCACGGCTCTTTTCTTCAAACTTCTAATGATTCATCATAAGTTTAACTCACATGAATCGATGTTGGTGTCCTCCTCTTCTGTCCCTGTGTCCCTCTGTCCCTGTGTCCCTCTGTCCCTGTGTCCCTCTGTCTGTCCCTGTGTCCCTCTGTCCCTGTCTGTCCCTGTCCCTGTCCTGTCTGTCTCTGTCCTCTGTCCCTGTCCCTGTCTGTCTGTCCCTCTGTCCCTCTGTCTGTCCCTGTGTCCCTCTGTCTGTCCCTCTGTGTCCCTGTGTCCCTCTCTGTCTGTCCCTGTGTCCCTCTGTCCCTCTGTCCTGTCCCTGTGTCTCTGTCTGTCCTGTGTCCCCTGTCCCTCTGTCCCTGTCCCCTGTGTCCCTGTCTGTCCCTGTGTCCCTGTCTGTCCTGTGTCCCTGTGTCCCTCTGTCTGTCCCTGTCTGTTCTGTCCTCTGTCTGTGTCCCTCTGTCTGTCCCTGTGTCTGTCCTCTGTCTGTCCCTGTGTCCCTCTGTCCCTCTGTCTGTCCCTCTGTCCCTCTGTCTGTCCCTGTGTCTGTCCCTGTGTCCCTCTGTCCCTCTGTCTGTCCCTGTGTCCTCTGTCTCCTGTGTCCCTCTGTCCCTCTGTCTGTCCCTGTGTCCCTGTGTCCCTCTGTCTGTCCCTCTGTCTGTCCCTGTGTCTGTCCCTGTGTCCCTCTGTCTGTCCCTCTGTCTGTCCCTCTGTCTGTCCCTGTGTCCCTCTGTCCCTCTGTCTGTCCCTCTGTCCCTCTGTCTGTCCCTGTGTCTGTCTGTCCCTCTGTCCCTCTGTCTGTCCCTCTGTCCCTCTGTCTGTCCCTGTGTCCCTCTGTCTGTCCCTGTGTCCCTCTGTCCCTCTGTCTGTCCCTGTGTCCCTCTGTCTGTCCCTGTGTCCCTCTGTCCCTCTGTCTGTCCCTGTGTCCCTGTGTCCCTCTGTCTGTCCCTCTGTGTCTGTCCCTGTGTCCCTCTCTGTCCCTCTGTCTGTCCCTGTGTCCCTCTGTCCCTCTGTCTGTCCCTCTGTCCCTCTGTCTGTCCCTCTGTCCCTCTGTCTGTCCCTCTGTCTGTCCCTCTGTCCCTGTGTGTCCCTCTGTCTGTCCCTGTGTCCCTGTGTCTTCTGTCTTCTTCACTCTGGTTTTGTTGCAGACCCTGGACCAGCTCCCGCTCACAAACCCAGAGCATTTTGGGACGCCTGTGATCGGCAAGAAATCCAACAGGGGGCGCCGCTCCTCACAGGCCGTGTGAGTCTCTGCTCAACTGCTCCAGCCTAGACCTGCTTTAGTCCTGCTTTAGTCCTGCTTTAGACCTGCTTTAGTCCTGCTTTAGTCCTGCTTTAGACCTGCTTTAGTCCTGCTTTAGTCCTGCTTTAGACCTGCTTTAGTCCTGCTTTAGTCCTGCTTTAGTCCTGCTTTAGTCCTGCTTTAGTCCTGCTTTAGACCTGCTTTAGACCTGCTTTAGTCCTGCTTTAGTCCTGCTTTAGACCTGCTTTAGTCCTGCTTTAGACCTGCTTTAGTCCTGCTTTAGTCCTGCTTTAGTCCTGCTTTAGTCCTGGTCCTGGTCCTGCTTTAGCCCTGGTTTAGTCCTGGTCCTGGTCCCTGGTTTAGTCCTGGTCCTGGTCCTGGTCCTGGTCCCCGGTCCCGGTCTGGGTCTGGGTCCCGGTCTAGGTCGAGGTCTGGGTCTGGGTCTCGGTCTGTTTCCTGGTCTCGGTCTGGGTCTGGGTCTGACCTCGGTCCTGGTCTAGGTCTGGGTCTAGGTCTGGGTCTCGGTCTGGGTCTTGGTCTGTTTCCTGGTCTCGGTCTGGGTCTGAGTCTGGATCTGGGTCTGACCTCGGTCCTGGTCTAGGTCTGGGTCTGGGTCTGGGTCTCGGTCCCGGTCCCGGTCTGGGTTTGACCTGGGTCTGACCTGGGTCTCGGTCTGGGTCTCGGTCTCGGTCTCGGTCCTGGTCCTGGTCTGGGTCTCGGTCCTGGTCCTGGTCTGGGTCTCGGTCCTGGTCCTGGTCCTGGTCTAGGTCTCGGTCCTGGTCTGGGTCTGGGTCTGACCTGGGTCCGTGTGTGTTCCAGCGCTGGTGAGGAGCAGGAGTGTTCTTCGTCTTCGTCGGAGGAGGAGGAGAGCAGAGTGTGTGACGAGCTCCTGGGCTCCGTCTGCTCTTTGGACGGAGCAGAACCGGGTCTGGTCCTGGTGAGTCCGTCTGGTTTTATTCACAGGGACCTGCTCGTGTGACGGGACTGATGCTCCTGCTAAAGCCACACTCTGGAACTTTCTGCAGGAACATCTGGTTAAAACCACAGTGTCCACGTTTATAAGAGGTTTTTAAAAAGCTTGTCCTTGTAGTTTAGATGTTAATAATAATAATAATAATAATAATAATAATAATGATAATAATGATAATAATGATAATGATAATGATAATAATAATAATAATGATGATGTTTCTTGTTGTTTGGTGTTAAACTGGTGAGATGTTTTTGATTTCCTGTGTGTGAGCGTCTGGGGGAGGTTCTGATTGGACAGAAACACCAACAGATTTAAACACAAACACTTGAACTGCTCGTGTCTTTTCTGTCGTCTGGTTTGTGGTTCCTCCACCGACACAAACACCGTCCAGAACATTTGGACCCGACGTGGTTCTGATGAGAACTGGAGAATCGTCTCATCACACTTTCCGTCTGTGAGTCGAGGAGGAGAAGGAGGAAGAAGAAGACAAAAGCTCAGCCCACTCCCACATCCCACTCACAAATCCAAAGAGACATGGATCAAAGTCCCGAGACAGACCAGGACCAGGACCAGGACCAGGACCAAGACCAGGACCAGGAGGACGACACGAGGAGCCTGAAGCACCAGCAGCATTTGAACAACAACAAACCACAAACAGGATCCAGGAAACGAACTCACTCACATTTAACATCACAACAAAACAAACTCTTACTTCACTGTTGAGATTTAGTCTCCGTTCAGTCTGCAGGTTTAACGCTCAATTCAGATTTTTTTGTGAAATACGATGTTTTTTCGAGGTGGTTCACATTTCCAGTTAAATGTGACTCCAGTGTGAACATTAAACGGTCCAAAAGTGTCCCACATGTGACACTGGAGACACGACGACGTCAACCGCAGCGAGCGTCTCTGTGTTTACACAAGTTGAACAAACATGGACGCAGCATCGAGCACCTGGAGCTTTTAAAGTTCCTCTCGTACCGGAGCCACAACATGAACAACTGACTTGTTTTAAGGAGGAGATTGAGAAGGAGAAGGACGAGGTTTTTGGTGGTGGTGTTTTGTGGTGAGTGGAGATGTGCTTCACTTCAGTCACACTGAGTTCATGAACAGTTTTCTCTACTTCAGTGCAGAATAGTGACATTTGTGTCTTGTTGATGACGTGTAGGTGGATGAATGTGACCTGACCGTTCACACTCAAGTCACATGTTAAAGATCAGATATGGATCAGTTTCAGGAGCACAGATCCAAGTGTCCTGGTCACATGTGAAAACATCACATCTGTGTGGTTCAGACGTCATTAAAAGATCAGATACAGGAACATAAAGACAAAAAATCTGATCTGAGTCACTTCAGGTGCAGTGTGAACACAGACTAAATCACAATCAACATTTATTTACATGGACGTTTTAAAACGGAACACACTTTTATTTACAATGAAATGATTTAGATTCAGGATTAAAGTTCTCCTGTGAACGTGGACACTGTGGAACCTTCTAGACAAGACAACAGCGTTTCCATAGAAACAAATGAGTCGGGTTTGTGGAGTCAAAACAAATATGGACAAAAATGTGACGGGACTGAAAACGGCAGAGTCTCACCTGTCTCACCTGTCTGTGTCTCACCTGTCTGTGTCTCACCTGTCTGTGTCTCACCTGTCTGTGTCTCACCTGTCTGTGTCTCACCTGTCTCTGTCTCACCTGTCTGTCTCACCTGCCTGTGTCTCACCTGCCTGTGTCTCACCTGTCTGTGTCTCACCTGTCTGCGTCTCACCTGTCTGTCTCACCTGCCTGTGTCTCACCTGCCTGTGTCTCACCTGTCTGTGTCTCACCTGTCTGTGTCTCACCTGCCTGTGTCTCACCTGCCTGTGTCTCACCTGTCTGTGTCACCTGTCTGTCTCACCTGTTTGTGTCTCACCTGCCTGTGTCTCACCTGTCTGTGTCTCACCTGTCTGCGTCTCACCTGTCTGTCTCACCTGCCTGTGTCTCACCTGCCTGTGTCTCACCTGTCTGTGTCTCACCTGCCTGTGTCTCACCTGTCTGTGTCTCACCTGCCTGTGTCTCACCTGCCTGTGTCTCACCTGCCTGTGTCTCACCTGTCTGTGTCACCTGTCTGTCTCACCTGCCTGTGTCTCACCTGCCTGTGTCTCACCTGTCTGTGTCTCACCTGTCTGTGTCTCACCTGTCTGTCTCACCTGCCTGTGTCTCACCTGCCTGTGTCTCACCTGCCTGTGTCTCACCTGCCTGTGTCTCACCTGTCTGTGTCACCTGTCTGTCAGGTGCTGTCTCCGGTGTGTAACGAGGAGCTGGTGGTGAAGAAGGATCACTGTCTGGTTCGTTCTTTTGGAGACGGGAAGTTGTGAGTTTTATTTTCTCTCCTGATGTTTAGAGTGTAACCTCACTACAGTCTGACCCCTGCCCTCTGCCCTCTGACCCCTGCCCTCTGCCCTCAGCTCCACCGTGCTCCGCCGACACCTGCACACGCTAAACTCCGCCTCCATCTGCAAACCCGAGCTCGCCAACAGGAAAGGTACGGACGCCATTTTCTCTCCACGCTCACACGACACAAGATTTACTCTGAAAGACCAGGACCAGGACCAGGACCAGGACCAGACTGAAACCAGGACCGGGACTAGATCCTCACTGACAGAACCCAGCAGAACGTTTCCTGAATGTGTTTAGAACTGTGTGTGTGTGACCTGTGTGTGTGAACTGTGCAGGTGTGTGTGTTACCTGTGTGTGTTACCTGTGCAGGTGTGTGTGTGTGTGTGTTACCTGTGCACCTGTGCAGGTGTGTGTGTGACCTGTGTGTGTGTTACCTGTGCAGGTGTGTGTGTGTGTGTACCTGTGCAGGTGTGTGTGTGTACCTGTGCAGGTGTGTGTGTGTGACCTGTGTGTGTGTGTGTGTGCCTGTGCAGGTGTGTGTGTGTGTGTGTGTGTCACCTGTGCAGGTGTGTGTGTGTTATTACCTGTGCAGGTGTGTGTGTGTGTGTTACCTGTGCAGGTGTGTGTGTGTGTTACCTGTGCAGGTGTGTGTGTGTTATTACCTGTGCAGGTGTGTGTGTGTATTACCTGTGCAGGTGTGTGTATTACCTGTGTGTGTTACCTGTGCAGGTGTGTGTGTGTATTACCTGTGTGTTATTACTTGTGCAGGTGTGTGTGTGACCTGTGTGTGTGACCTGTGCAGGTGTGTGTGTATTACCTGTGTGTGTGTGTGTGTGTGTGACCTGTGTGTTATTACCTGTGCAGGTGTGTGTGTGTATTACCTGTGTGTGTATTGTGTGTACCTGTGTGTTATTACCTGTGCAGGTGTGTGTGTATTACCTGTGTGTTATCACCTGTGTGTGTGTGTATTACCTGTGTGTTATTACCTGTGCAGGTGTGTGTGTATTACCTGTGTGTTATTACCTGTGCAAGTGTGTGTGTATTACCTGTGTGTTATTACCTGTGCAGGTGTGTGTGTATTACCCAGGCGTTCCTCAGGACCCGGGCGGTTCCGGACGTGTGGAAAATGGACCTGAGTCAGATCCTGGAGTCGTCGTCCGACAGTGACGAAAAACACAGCGACGAAGAACGAGAAGAAAACGAAGAGAGACGCAAGAAACGACTTCAGGAGGAGGTCAGGACGCACAACATACACACGACACACATGACACACACACACACACAAAACACACACACACATGACACACACACACACGACACACACACGACCGACAGACACACACAACACACACGACACACACACAGAACACACACACAGAACACACACACGACACACACACGACACACTACACAAGCACAAGAAACGACTTCAGGAGGAGGTCAGGACGCACAACGCACACACAACACACACACACAACACACACACACAACACACTACACAAGCACAAGAAACGACTTCAGGAGGAGGTCAGGACGCACAACGCACGCACAACACACACACACAAACACACACACACACAAACACACAAGAAACAACTTCAGGAGGAGGTCAGGATGCACAACACACACAACATCACACATACACACTGTGTGTTGTTGTGTGGTGTTGTGTGTTGTGTGCATCAGCATACGATATCGATACTGTATCAGCACATTAAATCTTCCAATATATCGATATATATTTGATAGATTTTCACAGTTTAGTGTAAATATAAAAGTATAAAAGTGACTCAGAGAAACGACTCTGAACGTCCTAGAGTCAGAGTCAGAGTGAGGGTCAGAGTCAGAGTGAGGGTCAGAGTCAGAGTGAGGGTCAGAGTCAGAGTGAGGGTCAGAGTCAGAGTGAGGGTCAGAGTCAGAGTGAGGGTCAGAGTCAGAGTGAGGGTCAGAGTCAGAGTGAGGGTCAGAGTCAGAGTCAGAGTCAGGGTGAGGGTCAGAGTCAGAGTCAGAGGTCAGAGTCAGGGTCAGGGTCAGAGTCAGTCAGGGTCAGAGAGTCGCTCTGTAAACAGAATCTGAGCCTCTGGTATCAGTATCGGTATCGACAGATTCTCAGAATGAAGTTCTGTCTTGGAACAGTGTTCTGTTCACTGGTTCCGGTCGTGTCTGTGGTTCTGGTTGTGTTTGTGGTTCTGGTTGTGTCTGTGGTTCTGGTTGTGTCTGTGGTTCTGGTTGTGTTTGTGGTTCTGGTTGTGTCTGTGGTTGTGTCTGTGGTTGTGTCTGTGGTTCTGGTTGTGTCTGTGGTTCGTGTCTGTGGTTGTGTCTGTGGTTCTGGTTGTGTCTGTGGTTCTGGTTGTGTCTGTGGTTCTGGTTGTGTCTGTGGTTGTGTCTGTGGTTCTGGTTGTGTCTGTGGTTCTGTGTCTGTGGTTGTGTCTGTGGTTCCGGTCGTGTCTGTGGTTCTGGTTGTGTCTGTGGTTCGTGTCTGTGGTTGTGTCTGTGGTTCTGGTTGTGTCTGTGGTTCTGTTGGTCTGTGTCTGTGTTCTGGTTGTGTCTGTGGTTCTGGTGTGTCTGTGGTTCTGTGGTTGTGTCTGTGGTTCGTGTCTGTGGTTGTGTCTGTGGTTCTGGTTGTGTCTGTGGTTCTGGTTGTGTCTGTGGTTCTGGTTGTGTCTGTGGTTGTGTCTGTGGTTCTGTGTGTTGTGGTTGTGTCTGTGGTTCTGGTTGTGTCTGTGGTTCTGGTTGTGTCTGTGGTTCGTGTCTGTGGTTGTGTCTGTGGTTCCGGTCGTGTCTGTGCTTTAAACTAAACTTTAGATGTGACGTGTCCACAGCCCGAGGAGGAGCCCGACCCCGACGAGAGAGACAACTTCCTCCAACAACTCTACAAGTTCATGGAGGACAGAGGTAACACACATACACACACACACTACACACATACACACACACACACACACACACACTATACACACACACACACACACACACACACTATACACACACACTATACACACACACACACACAGACACACACACACACACACACACACACACACTATACACACACACACACACACACACACACTATACACACACACACACACACACACTATACACACACACACACACACACACAGACACACAGACACACACACACACACACATATACACACACACACAGACACACACACACACTATACACACACACACACACACACACACTATACACACATACACACAGACACACACAGACACACACACACACACACACACACACACACACACACTACACACACACACAGACAACACACCACACTATACACACACACACAGACACACACACACACACATACAACACACACATACACACACACACACACAACACACACACACACTATACACACACACACACATACACACACACACACACACACACACTATACACACACACACAGACACACAGACACACACACACACACACACACATACACACACACACAGACACACACACACTATACACACACACACAGACACACACACACTATATACACACACACTATACACACACACACACTACACACATACACACACACACACACACACACAATATACACAGACACTATATACATACACATACACACTATATACACACACACACTATATACACACACACACTATACACACACACACTATACACAGACACACACACACAGACACACACACACACAGACACACACACACTATACACACACACATACACACACACACACTATACACATGTACACACAGACACACAGACACACGTGTACACACAGACACATGTACACACACACGCAGACACACGTATACACACAGACCCAAACAAGAACACACAGGTACAACTCCCCCTGCCCCTGGCACACACACAAGAACACACACACAGACGCACACACACCACCCCTGTGTGTGTGTGTGTGTGTGAGTTAGAGGTTGTGTTCTGATGTGTGCGTTCTCTCGTGTGTGTGTGTTCTGATGTGTGCGTTCTCGTGTGTGTGTGTGTGTTCTGATGTGTGCGTTCTCTCGTGATGTGTGTGTGTTCTGATGTGTGCGTTCTCTCGTGTGTGTGTTCTGATGTGTGCGTTCTCTCGTGTGTGTGTGTTCTGATGTGTGCGTGTGTGCTCTCGTGTGTGTGTGTGTGTTCTGATGTGTGCGTTCTCCTCGTGTGTGTGTGTGTTCTGATGTGTGCGTTCTCTCGATGTGTGTGTGTGTGTGTGTGTGTTCTGATGTGTGCGTTCTCTCGTGTGTGTGTGTGTTCTGATGTGTGCGTTCTCTCGTGATGTGTGTGTGTTCTGATGTGTGCGTTCTCTCGTGTGTGTTCTGATGTGTGCGTTCTCTCGTGTGTGTGTGTGTTCTGATGTGTGCGTTCTCTCGTGTGTGTGTGTTCTGATGTGTGCGTTCTCTCGTGTGTGTGTGTGTGTTCTGATGTGTGCGTTCTCTCTCGTGTGTGTTCTGATGTGTGCGTTCTCTCGTGTGTGTGTGTTCTGATGTGTGCGTTCTCTCGTGTGTGTGTGTGTTCTGATGTGTGCGTTCTCTCGTCGTGTGTGTGTGTGTGTTCTGATGTGTGCGTTCTCTCGTGTGTGTGTGTGTTCTGATGTGTGCGTTCTCTCGTGTGTGTGTGTGTGTGTGTTCTGATGTGTGCGTTCTCTCGTGTGTGTGTGTTCTGATGTGTGCGTTCTCTCGTGTGTGGTGTGTGTGTGTGTTCTGATGTGTGCGTTCTCTCGTGTGTGTGTGTGTTCTGATGTGTGCGTTCTCTCGTGTGTGTGTGTGTTCTGATGTGTGCGTTCTCTCGTGTGTGTGTGTTTGTGTTGCGTTCTCTCGTGTGTGTGTGTGTTCTGATGTGTGCGTTCTCGTGTGTTCTGTGTGTGTGTGTGTGTGTGTTCTGATGTGTGCGTTCTCTCGTGTGTGTGTGTGTGTGTGTGTGTTCTGATGTGTGTTCTGTGTGTTCTGATGTGTGCGTTCTCTCGTGTGTGTGTGTGTTCTGATGTGTGCGTTCTCTCGTGTGTGTGTGTGTTCTGATGTGTGCGTTCTCTCGTGTGTGTGTGTGTGTGTTCTGATGTGTGCGTTCTCTCGTGTGTGTGTGTTCTGATGTGTGCGTTCTCGTGTGTGTGTGTGTGTTCTGATGTGTGCGTTCTCTCGTGTGTGTGTGTTCTGATGTGTGCGTTCTCTCGTGTGTGTTCTGATGTGTGCGTGTGTTCTGATGTGTGTGTGTGTATTTTGTGATGTGTTGATGTGTGTGTGCGTTGTCTCCTCAGGGACCCCCATAAACAAACCCCCCGTGCTGGGCTATAAGGACCTGAACCTGTTTAAGTTGTTCCGGTTGGTGACGGTCCAGGGCGGCTGCGGCGCCATCGACTCTGGCACCGTCTGGAAACAGATCTACACCGACCTGGGCATCCCCGTCCTCAACTCTGCCGCCGCCTACAACGTCAAGACGGCCTACAAGAAGTCAGTACTGCAAACACACACCTACTATATACTAATATATATACTAATATATACACTATCTATATATGTGTGTGTGTTTATAAATATTTATATATTTATACATATATATGTACGGTTTATGTGACAAGTAACAGAAAACACCAACACTGATCCTCAAACATGTAAAAGTATAGACACTGTAAAAGTATAGACACTGTAAAAATATAGACACTGTAAAAGTACAGACACATGTACATTTGGTGTGTAGTTTTTCTTTGTGTGATTTTCCTGCACTGTGTTTTTGTCTCTGAGGATGTGTGTCTGATGGATGTTCTGCTCACGTGTGCGTTCTCTCCTTGCGTGTTTGTATATTTGTGTGTTTGTATATTTGTATGTTTACATGTTTGTATATTTGTATGTTTACATGTTTGTGCGTTTGTATATTTGTGTGTTTGTATATTTGTATGTTTACATGTTTGTATATTTGTGCATTTACATGTTTGTGCGTTTGCAGATACCTGTTTGGGTTCGAGGAGTTCTGCCGCTCGGCGCTCATCACCTTCAGAACCATCCACCACAAACAACCCCCGCCCCCCCGTCTCCCCGACCAATCAGAGAGCGCCCTCGGACACCAAGACCAGCCCCCCGTCCAATCACAGAGCGCCGCCGGAGCCCACGAGCGGCCCCGCGCCCAATCAGAGTGCGGCAGGGGCGGAGCTCAAAGACGCTGTGAAAACGGAGACAGAATCAGAGAGCGAGAGCGACCGTGAAAGCGACCGCGACAACGACCGAGAGAACGACCGCGACGGCGAACACGACGCCGACCGCGAAGGCGACCGCGAGGGCGACAGAGAGGAGCGCCACGCCTCCCCCAGAGTGAGTATTCAATCAGAAACAGCCTCTCAGTGAAGCCACGCCTCCTGTAAAATGCTCAGTTAAAGCCTCAGTGTGTCACTTTTTACCAATAATAAACTAAAATAAAAAGAAAGCCACTGAAAAAAACCTAAACACTCGCCTCTCCACAAACCTGACTCATACCTCACCTGCCATCTCCACAAAGGTACATACTGGAGCTTTAAATACTTAAACACACACACGTCTGTGACGTTGTGTGTAACAGTGTGTAACAGTGTGTGTGTTGTGTGTGAGGTTGTGTGACGTTGTGTGTAACATGTATAACAGTGTGTGCGTTGTGTGTGACGGTGTGTGTGTTGTGTGTAACGTTGTGTGTGACAGTGTGTGTGTTGTGTGTGAGGTTGTGTGACGTGTGTGACGTTGTGTGTGACAGTGTGTGATGTTGTGTGTAACGTTGTGTGTAACAGTGTGTGTGTTGTGTGTGAGGTCGTGTGACGTTGTGTGTAACGTTGTGTGTAAGTGTGTGCGTTGTGTGTAACGTTGTGTGTAACAGTGTGTGTGTGACGTGTGTAACATTGTGTGTAACAGTGTGTGCGTTGTGTGTGAGGTTGTGTGACGTTGTGTGTGACGTTGTGTGTAACAGTGTGTGCGTTGTGTGTAACGTGTGTAACAGTGTGTGTGTTGTGTGTAACGTTGTGTGTAACAGTGTGTGCGTTGTGTGTAACAGTGTGTGTTGTGTGTGACGTTGCGTGTAACAGTGTGTGCATTGTGTGTAACAGTGTGTGATGTTGTGTGTAACAGTGTGTGTAACAGTGTGTGTGTTGTGTGTGAGGTTGTTTGACGTTGTGTGTAACAGTGTGTGATGATGTGTGTAACGTTGTGTGTAACAGTGTGTGCGCTGTGTCTCAGGGTCGGCGTCGCGCCGTGCTCCCCCTAAAGGACAAACGAGGCACTGACTCTGACGAACAGCGAGAGCCGCGCAAACGCACGCCTAGACAAACTGACCAATCAGAGCGCACACCCAGACTCACCGACCAATCAGAGAGCGGGGGCAGGCTCACTGACCAATCGGAGAGAGGCTCAGACGACGAGGAAGACGACGACGACGACGAAGAGGACGAACCTCCGCACCAGCCCACAGAGAGGTGGGGGGGCTGGACCCGGTCTGGGTCTAGGTCTGGGTCTAGGTCTGGGTCTGGTTCTGAGCCCGTTCTGATTCTGATCCCGGTCTGGTTCTGGTTGTTCTCAGGTCGGAGGAGGACCCTGACGGAGTGACCGGGACCAGAGTCCGGGTCAAATACGGTCGAGGAAAAACTCAGAAGATTTATGAGGCTCACATCAAAAAGACCGACATTGACAACGGAGAAAACTTCTACCTGGTGCATTATTACGGCTGGAACGTCAGGTGAGCGCCGCACCTGCAGCCGCGGGGGCGGGGCCCTGGGACTGTGGGGCTGTAGGACTGTGGACGAGGCTGTGGGGCAGACCGCATGGGGCGCTCTCCTAGCTCCCCTGTGTTCACCTGTGTGTTCACCTGTGTTCACCTGTGTGCTCACCTGTGTGCTCTCCTGTGTGCTCCCCTGTGTTCTCACCTGTGCTCACCTGTGTGCTCCCCTGTGTGCTCCCCTGTGTGCTCCCCTGTGTTCTCACCTGTGTGCTCCCCTGTGTGCTCCCCTGTGTGCTCCCCTGTGTGCTCCCCTGTGTGCTCTCCTGTGTGCTCACCTGTGTGCTCACCTGTGCTCACCTGTGTGCTCTCCTGTGTGCTCCCCTGTGTGCTCCCCTGTGTGCTCCCTGTGTGCTCACCTGTGTGCTCACCTGTGTGCTCCCCTGTGTGCTCCCCTGTGTGCTCCCCTGTGTGCTCTCCTGTGTTCTCACCTGTGCTCTCCTGTGTTCTCACCTGTGCTCCCCTGTGTGCTCACCTGTGCTCGCATGTGTCCAGGTACGACGAGTGGGTGAAGGCCGACCGCATCATCTGGCCCTCGGAGAAAGGATCCAAGAAGAAAGGGAGGGGCAAACTGAAGGTCAGGGGTCACACACACCTGGACACACACACACCTAAGACACACGTACTCTCTCCTGACCTCTCTGTGTGTTTGTGCGTTCTCTCGTGTGTTGTGCGTGTGTGTTGTGTGTTTGTGCGTTCTCTCGTGTGTGTGTTTGTGCGTTCAGAAGGAGGAGGGGCCTCTGGACGAGGAGCGCCCATCGCAGGTGAAGAGTTCTGGGGGTCGCCGGGGTCGACCTCTGGGCAGCAAGAACAAGACCAACGGCCGAGCCCCCGAGAGACGACCCGAGTCTGGACCCAACCTGTCCAACGGAGACAGTGAGTACCCACGAATCCCCGACCTGTACCCGACCTGTCCAACGGAGACAGTGAGTACCCCACGAATCCCCGACCTGTACCCGACCTGTCCAACGAAGACAGTGAGTACTCCACGTGTGCCCGACCTGTAACCGACCTGTCCAACGGAGACGGTGAGTACTCCACGTGTGCCCGACCTGTAACCGACCTGTCCAACGGAGACGGTGAGTACTCCACGTGTGCCCGACCTGTAACCGACCTGTCCAACGGAGACGGTGAGTACTCCACGTGTGCCCGACCTGGACCCGACCTGTCCAACGGAGACAGTGAGTACCCACGAGTCCCCGACCTGGACCCAACCTGTCCAACGGAGACGGTGAGTACTCCACGTGTGCCCGACCTGGACCCGACCTGTCCAACGGAGACAGTGAGTACCCACGAGTCCCCGACCTGGACCCGACCTGTCCAACGGAGACGGTGAGTACTCCTCGAGTCCCCGACCTGGACCCGACCTGTCCAACGGAGACGGTGAGTACTCCACGTGTGCCCGACCTGGACCCGACCTGGACCCGACCTGTCCAACGGAGACAGTGAGTACCCACGAGTCCCCGACCTGGACCCAACCTGTCCAACGGAGACGGTGAGTACTCCACGTGTGCCCGACCTGGACCCGACCTGTCCAACGGAGACAGTGAGTACTCCACGAATCCCCGACCTGTAACCGACCTGTCCAACGGAGACGGTGAGTACTCCACGTGTGCCCGACCTGGACCCGACCTGTCCAACGGAGACAGTGAGTACCCACGAGTCCCCGACCAAACCACAACCACAGGAAACCACATCAGAGCAGAGCAGAGGATTATGGGACATTGAGTCTCTCTGTTTCCTCAGACACTCCTCGCAGAAGAACCAGGAGGACCTCAGGGATGTACGACTCGGACCGGGCCTCAGACGGTCAGTGTCAGTGCGGGGCCTCAGACGGTCAGTGTCAGTGCGGGGCCTCAGACGGTCAGTGTCAGTGCGGGGCCTCAGACGGTCAGTGTCAGTGCGGGGCCTCAGACGGTCAGTGTCAGTGCGGGGCCTCAGACGGTCAGTGTCAGTGCGGGGCCTCAGACGGTCAGTGTCAGTGTGGGGCCTCAGACGGTCAGTGTCAGTGTGGGGCCTCAGACGGTCAGTGTCAGTGCGGGGCCTCAGACGGTCAGTGTCAGTGCGGGGCCTCAGACGGTCAGTGTCAGTGCGGGGCCTCAGACGGTCAGTGTCAGTTGCGGGGCCTCAGACGGTCAGTGTCAGTGCGGGGCCTCAGACTTGAGGATAAATGACTAGACCAAGTCGTCCTAATTATAAAAATACAGTTGAGTGTCACTGAACCAGGACTGAACCTTTAGTTTGTTTCTCATGACAGAAGAGGCTGAACTTTGTGACAAACATCTCAACTATAAAGGTCCCACACCTGCACCTGACTCTCACCTGACACTGACCTGACACTGACCTGACACTGACCTGATACTGACCTGACTCTCACCTGACACTCACCTGCCTCACCTGACACTCACCTGCCTCACCTGACACTCACCTGCCTCACCTGCCACTCACCTGCCACTCACCTGTCTGTGCAGAGGATTCTGGGAACTCGTCTGACGACAGCGAATCAGAAGACTCGATGGAGAAGAAGCGGTTTCCGTGGCGACGGCAGGAGGCGGGGCCCAAACAGGAAGCGGAGCTGCGTCTGAAACGGGAAGAGGAGGAGCCGAGCCTCGAGGACACGTCTGACCCCGCCCCCAAACCCGCAGACACTACATCTCCCAGCATGCACCAGGACACCGCCCACGGCCAATCAGAGCAGGGGGCGGGGCCAGAGCAGCCGCCCGTCACTCCAGAGAAGGTTTGTGTTTGTCACTGTCACTCGAGAAAATAAAAAAATCAAACTAAAATGTCTCGGCCGGATCCAGACGGGTCCAGGTCACCACAGGGTTTCTTTTTTTTATTCGTTTTGGACTCGCGTCTCCTTAACTCTCACCTCTGTCTCGTTTGTTCCAGAAGGCTCTGGCCCCGCCCACTCTGCTCCTGGACTCCTCCCCCAGACTCAAGCTCCTCCCCTCGGTCCCGCTCGTGCCCCTCCCCCCTCGCTCTGAGCCAATGGTCGTCCTCCATCACTGTTTACCCCCAGACTCCGACACAGACTCCGCCTCCGAGAGCGACAGCGAGAAGGAGGAGAGGAGAGGAGGAGTCGGAGGAGGAGGAGAGGAGGAGACACGGGCCCAAGGAGACGCTCGAGACGTGAAGGACGAGAGGACGGAAGACGAGAAGGACGAGGGGACGCAGGAGGACGACGTCAGGAGTCTCCTTCATAACAGATCTCCTCTGAGAGAACGACACCCGCTCCCACGAAGCCCCCACAAGGAACGCTCCACCCACCAGACATCTCCACCCGCCGACAGGAGCCAGGCCGACAGGAGCCAGGCCGACAGGAGCCAGGCCGACAGGAGCCTCAGACCAGAGCAGACAGAAGGCGCCAACTCTCCGCTCCGACCGATCAGAACCGAGGAAGAGAAACCAAACACGACGCAGGGAGAGAAGACGCCGCTGAGACACGACCGACACGAAGAACAAGGTCCACCACAAGGTCCACCACAACCACAAAGTCAACCGCAGGGTCCTCCACACGAGAGCGCTGATGTTCCCAACGAAGAGCCAGGCGAAGGGCAGACGACGGCCGAAACACAGGACAGAACTGAGCCTGAAAATCCACCAAAACCTGAAGAACATCAGGAACAGATAGAAGAAAGAACGGAGAAGAACGAAGCGGAGAAAACCCCGGTGAAGCGTAAGGCTCCAGAGCAGAAGAGTCCAGAGAAGAAACTCAAGACAGAAACAAAAACGTCTCCAAATACTACAAACATGGCTGACACGGAGCAGCAGAGCAGAGCGACGGAACAGGAGGAGGTAAAGATGGAGGTGTCGGAGGTTAAAGGAGAGGAGGAGCAGAAGTTGGAGCAGAAGTTGGAGCAGAAGTTGGAGCAGAAGTTGGAGCAGAAGTTGGAGCAGAAGTTGGAGCAGAAGTTGGAGCAGGTAGAGCAGGAGCAGAGAGAAGCCACCCTCCCCATGGGCCCCGAGGCGTTGGTTTGTCACGAGGTGGACCTGGACGAGCCCGACGAGCGCGAGAAAGCCGTGAGCGCCTCAGAGCAGCTCCTGCTCATGATGAGAGAATCACACCTGCACCTGTCCCCGCCCACGCCGCACAAAACCCAGCCCACGCCCTCCAAAGGCCTGTCCACGCCACCCAAAGCCCCGCCCACTGCGCCAGAGCACAACTGCGGCGAGCGGAGAGACGAGCGAGGACACGAGGAGGGACGCCAGCGAGGACACGAGGAGGGACGCCAGCGAGGACACGAGGAGGGACGCCAGCGAGGACACGAGGAGGGACGCCAGCGAGGACACGAGGACGCCAACTCCAGTCCTATGTCCAACTCCTCCCACTGCGACCGAGGTGAGACCTGGGACTGGACTGGGATGGGGGACTGGGGGACTGGGGGACGAGGGGACGGGGGGACGAGGGACTGGGGACTGGGGACTGGTCTGTGTTAAATGTAGTTGTGTTAAAGCGGTGTTGCGCCCCCTGCAGGTCAGAAGAGAGTTCTGGAGGGACACAGTCCAACTGTGAAGAAACACAAACGACACAAGAGACCAACACCACAAAAACACGACAAGAACGGAGCCGGTGAGACTCACACACTGTACACACACACTATACACACACACTCTACACACACACACACACACTATACACACACACACTATACACACACACACTATACACACACACACTATACACACACACACTATACACACACACACACACTGTACACACACACTATACACACACACACTATACACACACACTACACACACACTGTACACACACTATACACACACACTATACACACACACTACACACACACTGTACACACACACTATACACACACACACACTATACACACACTATACACACACACTGTACACACACTATACACACACACTATACACACACTGTACACACACTGTACACACACTATACACACACACTATACACACACACACTATACACACACACTATACACACACACACACACTACACACACACTGTACACACACACACACACTACACACACTACACACACTACACACATACACACACACTGTACACACACACTATACACACACACTACACACACACACTACACACACACTGTACACACACTGTACACACACTATACACACACACTATACACACACACACTACACACACACACTATACCCACACACCCACACACTACACACACACTGTACACACACACTGTACACATACACTATACACACACACTGTACACACACACATAGACAGACGGGAGGGCATCTGACACAGTATTATTTATTTAAAGGTGTTTAAATAAATTTGCATATTTACATTTTTCATATGTGATTGAATCATGTGTAAATCAAAGTGTTTAAATGATTGTGTGGTTTTATTATTATTATGATGATTTTGTTAGTTAGATTGTGTGTATAAAGTTTGTTGCATCGGGTCGTTTGTTGTGCTTCAGGTCACAGCAGCGACAGTGAAGACCAGAGTCACAAACACTGTCCCTCCCCGACCAGCAGAGGGCACAAGTGGACCCTGCACATCGGTGAGCACTCACCTCTGACCCCCTCTGACCCCCCTCTGACCCGTGTGTGACCTGTGTGTGTGACCTCTGTGTGTGTGACCTCTGTGTGTGTGACCTGTGTGTGTGTGTGTGACCTGTGTGTGTGTGACCTGTGTGTGTGTGTGTGTGACCTGTGTGTGTGTGACCTGTGTGTGTGACCTGTGTGTGTGACCTGTGTGTGTGACCTGTGTGTGTGACCTGTGTGTGTGTGACCTCTGTGTGTGTGACCTCTGTGTGTGTGTGACCTGTGTGTGTGTGACCTCTGTGTGTGTGTGTGACCTGTGTGTGACCTGTGTGTGACCTGTGTGTGACCTGTGACCTGTGTGTGTGACCTGTGTGTGTGACCTGTGTGACCTGTGTGTGACCTGTGTGTGTGTGACCTGTGTGTGACCTGTGTGTGTGTGTGTGTGTGACCTGTGTGTGTGACCTGTGTGTGTGACCTGTGTGTGTGACCTGTGTGTGTGACCTGTGTGTGTGTGTGACTGTGTGTGTGTGACCTGTGTGTGTGACCTGTGTGTGTGTGACCTCTGTGTGTGTGACCTGTGTGTGACCTGTGTGTGTGTGACCTCTGTGTGTGTGTGTGTGTGACCTGTGTGTGTGACCTGTGTGTGACCTGTGTGTGTGACCTCTGTGTTGACCTGTGTGTGACCAGTGTGTGTGACCTCTGTGTGTGTGACCTGTGTGTGTGACCTCTGTGTGTGACCTCTGTGTGTGTGACCTGTGTGTGTGACCTCTGTGTGTGTGTGTTGTGTTGTGACCTCTGTGTGTGTGACCACTGTGTGTGACCAGTGTGTGTGACCAGTGTGTGTGTGACCTTGTGTGTGTGACCTCTGTGTGTGTGACCTCTGTGTGTGTGACCTCTGTGTGTGACCTGTGTGTGTGTGACCTGTGTGTGTGTGTGTGACCAGTGTGTGTGACCTCTGTGTGTGTGACCTCTGTGTGTGTGACCCCTGTGTGTGTGACCAGTGTGTGTGACCAGTGTGTGTGACCAGTGTGTGTGACCTCTGTGTGTGTGACCTGTGTGTGGTGACCTCTGTGTGTGTGTGACCCCGTGTGTGTGACCAGTGTGTGTGACCAGTGTGTGTGACCAGTGTGTGTGACCTGTGTGTGACCTGTGTGTGTGACCTGTGTGTGTGTGTGTGTGACCTCTGTGTGTGTGACCTGTGTGTGTGTGACCTGTGTGTGTGACCTGTGTGTGTGACCTGTGTGTGACCTGTGTGTGTGTGACCTGTGTGTGACCTGTGTGTGTGTGTGTGTGACCTGTGTGTGACCTGTGTGTGTGACCAGTGTGTGTGTGTGTGACCTGTGTGTGTGACCTGTGTGTGTGACTGTGTGTGTGTGACCTCTGTGTGTGTGACCTGTG